GTTGTGTTCCAAAGTGGGGCCTCTGAACCGTGGGATCAGGGGATCCTGGGGAGCTTGTCAAAATCCAGATCCCAACCTCCACCCAAACTTACTGACCTAACTCAGGGACCCTACAGGTAGGGCCCAGGCACCCATTTTCTAGATAATTCTCTCCAGATTCTTCCTGTACACATTTCTTTGGCTGTTGAGGGGAAAGACCCTGGAGACAGAGAAGTAGAAATTGTGGGAGTTTGGGAGAACCCCATTGAGAAGACAGGAGGAGCAAGATGGAAGCCAGCACTCAGTTGTGGGACACTCCTCCAATGTAAGCAGGGGAGAATGGAAGGTGACAAGAGTGGCTTTCTAGACCTGGTAGTAAGATAAGAGAAGGTCGGCTGGCACTTTTGCACAGCTGAGGCTCTTTTTTCATTATGTGTCTTCTTTGTGGATGCCTTTCCCAGTAGACTGTGAGTTGCCTGTCACTTGTTCACTAAAGTATCTTCCGACCTAGCACATGACATGACATAACAGGAGATGGCATGACATCCTGGTAAAGGTGTTATTGAAAAACAACTGGAAATAGAAACCTGGACTTCAGAGCAACGACAGGCTAGAAATGAGTGTAGAAGTAAGACATCTACTGCAGCAATAGCCAACAGGCTCCCAGAAAGGCAAGGAAGAGGAGAACAGGTACGTCTCCTGGAGTCCCTGGGATACAGCAGAGGGAGGACCCAAGAAACAGACACCAAAGAGGAAAGAAAAAGCATTAAGAATCATCCTCCCATTCATTCAGCCCAGACCTGTTTCTATCCATTCCATATCTCTGGCAGTCCATGCAATAGTGGAGTGAAGGAGCCTTCTAAATTGTTTGGGGTTTTTTGTTTGCTTTTTTGCAGTACTGAGGATTGAACCCAGGGGTGCTCTCTCCATGAGCTACATCCTCAGCCCTTTTTATTTTTTAATTTTAAAATGGAGCTCTCCAAGTTGCTGAGGCTGGCCTTCATCTTTCAGTTCTCCTGCCTCAGTCTCCCCATTTGCTCAGATAACAGGCATTGGCCACCATACCCAGCCGTAAATTGTTTGATATTGGATTTAAGTAATTAAAAAGGGAAACTTGTGCCAGGATTTGGGAGGCTAAGGCAAAAGAATCGAGAGTTTAAAGCCAGCCTCTGTAACTCAGCGCGGCCCTAAGCAACTCAGTGAGACCCTGTCTCTAAATAAAATATAAATAAGGGCTGTGGATGTGGCTCAGAAGTTAAGCACCCCTGAGTTCAGTCCCTCGTACCAAAATAATGATGATGATGATGATGATGATGATGATGAAGAGGAGGAGGAGGAGGAGGAAGGTAAACTTATAATTCTGGAAGAAAGAAGTCAGATTATAACTTAGCTTTTATATCTCTGCAAGCTAATTTCACTCATAGTCCCTGTAGCCCTCGGGTCTGGGTGGTCCCTCCATATGTGTTTCTATCAAAGATTATGAAAACTGACTGATATTTAAATCTAGGCAGCATTTCTGGAAGGCATATTTTCATTGACTTGACCTTAGACTTGGAACCTAGCTCTGATACAGAAGTAAGGATGATATTGAAAGTAGGATTTTCAAGTTTGATACAAAACATTGATAAAGCAGCCACTACAGCCCTGGATTCTAAGGGAAAGAAAGTACATCTGCTAGTTTGTGTCCATGCTTATAGCTGAGGGTTGAAGGAAGAAGATAAAGATAGACTAGCTTCAAGGTGAAAGTTGAGGTCAGACTTATGGTCAGTAGGGACTATAGCAGTAGTGACTTTCATAGAAGTAGGGGTAGGGAGAGTTCATCTTTGCTTCTAGGAAAAAAAATATGAGAATATACAAGCAGAGTACCTGAGACAGGATTCTTCAGACCTTTTGTGACTTCCCTGTCCTCTCTGAATGATTGGTAGATCATTCACTTACCAAGTCCCAGGATTCCAAAGAGAAGCAGTACCCAGAAGGAGGAGGTAGGAGATAATTTCCTTTGCTTCATCTTGAAATAATCCACATGAGAAGTTGTTATCTGGAATGCCTGGGTTCTAGAGCCAAGATGAGCTGAAGAGAGTAAGTTGATGCCTGGCCTCTCAATGGGACATGAAGTTGCAGGAAGAATTGAATCTTGCCAGGACCAGAGCTCTGAGACAGGTAGGTTCTGTGGTAGCAGGGCACTGGGACAGCTGGACTCCTGGGTCCCAAGGTTGCTCCCACATGTGCCTTTCTTACTTTCTTTTCTCACTTGACTATAGCGGTAGCATTTATAGTTGCTACTGAGCAGGGAAGGCCACAACTTCTGGGTCCTCCTCCCTCTCTAGGGAGGGGCATTTCTCAGGCCATGCTTCCTGATAATATGTGGGGAGGAGAAGGGCTGGGGAGAACAGGGGGATCAAATCTTTTATTGGACAGGAGACACCCTCAGGGCCAGACGTCAAGCAGAAACCTGTTTTGTCTGACAGTGTCTCATTTCTGGGGCAGAGGCCTCTATACCAAGCGGGGGGAGAGAAATGAAGTTTCCTGGATCCTAAAGCACTGGGTCTTGGTCCTAATATGTCAGCATTCACTCTCCAGGGGCAGCTGTAGGGAGAACTAGGCACTGGGAGATTAGGATGGAGAGCCTGCCATTATGAAGCCTCTTATTTGGTCTCAGAGGGCAATGAAAGCTGGCAGGAAAGAACCTGGCCTGGGGTACTGCTGGGTCAGAACAGGACTCTGGATGCTTATGGACTTGAAAGGGGAAACCTGGACTCTGGAAGCAAGGGGCAGACACTGACAGGAACCCCAATTTCACTGTTTCTTGGGTGATCCCTGTCACCACCCATCCACCCAGGTCATGCTGCAGTCTTACATGAAGCCTATTCCAAGGAGCAGAGCAAAAGGAGGGCATGGCGATGAACAACTCTGGCCCACAGAGACCGTGTGGTACGGAGAGGATCTGAACAAGGTGCCTGTCTGGGCGTTGGCTTTCTCATTCATAAAAAGAGCCTATGAACAGGGAAGGATTGACAGATGCAGTGTCTGCGAAAGCACAGCACATATGCTTAGTAGTTTTCTTATGAATTTGGTGTGGCATTGGGAGCGAAGCCCAGACCTATCCGTCTGGCTGATCCAGAAATTTTGACCCAGCAGAGCATGGGCCCGAAGAAGGAGGAGACCCGCGGGAGCTGAGGGAGCACATGGGGTAGCAGGATCTGCTGCCACTCAGAACCGGGTTCCAGCTAATATGCCAGTGCCCACAACGGAGGTTAAGAGTCTCCAATCTGCTCTGCTAGGGAGAGAAATCTGAGGTGCGCTGGCCAGACGCAGCCTAGAGGGAAGGAGAGAACTCAGAGCCCCGGCTGCTCTGGTCCCCTCTTCCCAAGGACCGGGCTTCAGGTGTCTCCTTCCCAGATCCTGACCTCCCAATGCTCCTGGTCTTGGGCACTCACAACTGGGTGGTGACCTCCCCGCGTAGCAGGGAGCATAGGCTTATGAACAGCCAGTGGATTCCCTCTTGACCTACTCATGAAGTAATTATCCCTGGTGGGGACCCAGCCCAGAGCTTATTAAAGTATTTTCCTCTGGATTTATTTCACAGTGATAATTAGCAGGAAAGAGAGAGGCAAGAGCCTTGGAAGAAAACATGGTTCATAGTGGTGAATGCAAAACTTCTGCTCCCCACCCTCCCTCTGATCCCCAGGGCTTCACTGGCACCTGGGCAGGAGATGGGGTAGGATCAGGTTGAATGTTTAAGACTCTAGGGCCAGAGGTGATTTAATTTAATTTTTTAAATTAGGGTGCAGACCAGAGGAGTTCAACGATTAGAGGCTAGGGTCAGGGAGTCTCTGCATCCCTCCCAGGTTGGTGACACTCCTGTCCTGACAGCCACCACATGCTGAGTAGCTATCTGCCCAAACAACTAAAACCACATATCTCCCTCCTTTTCTAGCAGGTTCCTTAGCCCTGTCCCAGAATCCAGGTGTCCCTTCCTGCCTCAGGCCTTCACCAGGGACTGGCATGCCTCTTTTCTGAGTCCCAGAAGGTCCAGTTTTGCCCTTAGCAGAGCCAGTGAAAGACTGAGAGACCCTCTGGGCTGAGGGAATGCTCAGCCCAGAGCTGGGTTCTGGCTAGCAACAGGGCCAGATAATTCATTGGCATCAATGTCAGGTTTAGGATTATTGTCCATGACAGAATTCCAGTTTTTCACAAATGGGGATGTTGAAAATAGCAAATGGCCCTATTTTTTTATTCTGAAAGGAGTTAAGATTAAAAACAGGTATACCTCTCTTGTCAGCAAGGATGCCATCTTCCTCCAGTGAGAGTAAGAGCAAGGCTACACAGATGATGGCCAAGGCTCCACTGGGACTGACACATGGGCACAGAATAGTTTTGGAGCAGGTCCTAACATAAGCATGGCTATGGTAAATGCTTATAAATATTGGGTTTAATTCATTCGGGTGTTCTTTTATAGTAATTTAGTTTTTATAGTTGTGTTATAGTAATTGTCATGACAACTCTTGTGGAATTATTTAAATTTTTTAAAAATATTTTTTAGTTGTTGGTGGACTTTTATTTTATTCATTTATTTATATGTGGTGCTGAGAATTGAACCCAGTGCCTCACACATATGAGGCAAACGCTCTACCACTGAGCCACAACCCCAGCCCAGAATTATTTAAATTTTTCTGTATTTGTGTCTCAAGTGGGAACTATGTCTTATACTTCCTTATATATTATATATCCTCAGCAGGATATATAATGAGAGCTTTAAAATGCTTGCTTGTTAAACATCACATTTTTCTCCTCATTTTGTCACCATACAAGTAAACCCAGTGTGAACTGAGGCTCTCTTATCCAAACCTAGAAACAACCATTTTAGAAACAATAGATATTTGGCCTCTCCTCCTCCCCTCTCTCTCCAGCTTCGAAAAACTCCTGTTCTGCCTCTATCCCCTCTGCCCAGGATCATCTGTAAGGTCACTGCCAGAGCCACAAATACCAGCCAGTTCTCCCAACTGATAGTCCAATAAGACTTTACTTTATAAATATGTTACACTTTATTATAAAAAGACTGAGAGAAGGAAAGTGTCATCTGTCCACTTGTATTATTCATTCTTTTTGCTCTTTCCCCAAAATGCATCTTTCTTGCTTATCATCTCATTCCCAAACCAGTTTCAATTAAGAACACTGTGGATGGAGTGTTATTGCTGTCAACTGTATCTCTTCCCTTCTTGGAGTCCAGGAAATAGGAATTGTGAGTCTAATTCCTCATCCAGGAAAGAGAAAGGAATGGATGCCTTCTAAAAAAAAATCATGGTAGTGAAGGTATTTGGCTAATGCCAAGGTTCTGCTGCTCCATCAGGTAGACTGGGTAGGAATTCGGGCCCTCATTTTCTTCTGGGTCATCGTTCTGCATGTTCTGGGTCAGTGCACGGCGTGTTCGAATCACAGAGAAGATCTGAGATTGGAACAAGAAAGGAGGAATGAGAATGATCTGCCATTCCTTCTGCTTTCCTCAATACTCACATCACAGGTTCTGCATTCTATTCTCCCTCAACCTGGACCTTTGGTTTCCTTCTTCCCCACAATTCCATCCAAGCCTCAGTCCTTATTCCAGCCCCAGATCCAATATACTAAGTCTCAGGTCCCATCTCCATATCTCCCCTTTGTCCTATTCTCCTTGTCCTTTGGTGCCCTATTCTTAATACCCAAGACTCTATCTCCAACCCCCCAATTTTTTGTGACCTTTTCGTCTCAGCCATAGCCTATTTTCTAATTCAAACTCTTCACATTTTGTGCATTTATTGCCTTCTCATCCCCACCACTTCTCTCTTCCTAGTTTCATTATTCCCTTTAACTCTAGCTCCTAAGCTCTCCTCAATTCCCTATCAAATGCATTCACTTTCCAAAGGCACCACTGTCCCTTACCAAGAAGATGAGGCCAAGGAACAGCAGCAGAAGAATCACAGCCACCAGGACCACAATAACTATGGCCCATGGAGGAAATGAACCATTCTCTCCTGTCTCTCCAGCATGGAGACCTGCCTGTGAGCCACCATTATTCTGGTTTGAATGGCTCTTATTGCCTGGGGCTTCTGACAGGATGGAACTCAGGTGCACCCCAGATGTAGGGGATATCAAAGCCATAGGTGTGACATGGGCCCCTGTGGCCTTCTCATGGGCTGATGTGGTCTGTCCTCCATGTTCTGTAGGTGTGACATGGGCCCTTGTGGCCTTCTCATGGGCTGATACAGTCTGTCTTCCATGTTCTATAGGTGTGACATGGACCCCTGTGACCTTCTCATGGGCGGATGTGGTCTGTCCTCCATGTTCTGTAAGTGTGACATGAGCCCCTGTGGCCTTCTCATGGGCTGATGTGGTCTCTCCTCCATGTTCTGTAGGTATTACTTGGGCTCCTGTGGCCTTCTCATGGGCAGATGTGGTCTGTCCTCCATGTTCTGTAGGTGTGACATGGGCCCCTGTGGCCTTCTCATGGGAGGATGC